TAATTGTTAACAGAAAGAAGCATTATTATACTCAGTGAAAAACCACTCAAATCAAATACCAAGGGTCTTAAGCTTTTATCAAGCTTGATATGCCAGAACCTCAATAATTGACCCAAACATGAAATGCCATTGCAGTAAGCTTGTTGTTACCATTTAAAAGTCAAATTATCTACTTGTTCGATCATGATGTTAACTAAGAATTCAGAATTGAGATTCAACAGAATTGTCAGGAATCTGTATAAGCTGCATTAGGATTACGATAAGCAGGAGAAAAGTAGCTGTAAGATTTTGATCTCTGATGGTTAACTGACAAGATCACACGAGGCTCAAGGCCATGGTACAGATACTTTAGCAGCTGAAGCGTCAACTGTGCAGTCCAGGAAATTTCTTTTATAAATTAGTTCTCTAATCATCAGAATCTATTACAGAAAATAAACATCAGATGTAAAGACAGGAAAAGGCAGGTCTACATTTATTCATTTGCATAACAGCATATACGCCATAGGGAATTCAAGCAAACAGTCAGCTATGTGTCGAGTGGCGATGGGGATTCAAATAATCAGACCTGAGCTAGTGAAACCGCATCCTTGGCTCCACGCATCAATTCTTGAATCTGAAGGAACAAAAGAATCCATATAAGAAACTCACGGAAATCAACTGGCCCCAACAAGAACTACAACCTTGGAAGCATGTATATGATATATGAAAATATTCAAACGATTCTCACTTTGCGACTAAAAAATGAAAAGCATCATGACGATTCCATTCTTTTCCATTCTAAAAGTCGAAAAAAAAATGAAGGCCAAACTGCGTACATCCCAGAATTGCGCTACAGACAGATCTCTCTTGTCTCGTTACATGAGAACCCTTTTCCAACGAGGAACACTAATCGGACGGAAAGGCAAGCGAATTTACCTGGATCATGACGGGCGTCTCCGTCTCAAGTGCTCTCTTTGAGAGCTTGGGATAAGTCCCCATTCCGCCTCTCCTCCAACAATAGCGCCTACCACACACCTACGAGACGGGCACAGGCGAGACTCAAGAAAGCCCTAAATCCCAGGACAGCAAGATCGGCTCACCTAATAAGGGAGATGAAGACGGAAGATTTCGCCACCTCCCTCCCTCCCACCAAACGCAACACAGAGCAGCCGCCTCAACAACTGGATCGAAATATAAAAATCCGAACTTTTACTCGTTTTTTATTTCTTGATGATATCACCGACTTTGGAGCCCAAGAAAAGCGGGGCCGTGGAATTTTGACCTCTTCCGGTCTTCTCCCTTCCACCACCAACCCAGCACCAAAAAGATAACAAATGAAATTTCAACTACTCTCTTCCTGTACCAAGAAAAAGAAAACAAATAATCGAATCTCCTTAGAAGGTTTATGGGATTCCACGTCTGAATCGACAAAGAAGGGATCTTTTTCTTGCAAGGATCCTGCGGTGACCAACAAATTCAGGAGCTCAATTCGAGCGGAAGGCAAGCGAGAGAGAGACCGGGAGAAGAGAACAGGGTGGGTATCCTTCTCGGGTGGCTCAGAAAGCGACGCGAGGGAGCGTCTGCGGTCAAAGAGGTCGCACCTTCCCGTCGGCTTGTGTTAATATTTCGCCACCGTCGTCCACGTTCCGTTTCTACCTTCTCCATTCCTTTTATACCACAACGGACAAGATAGGACAGAGGCCGGCGAGAGGCAGGTGGGATTCTAGATTCGCGTTGCACGAATCACGAGACCCGTTTCAGCTACCAGACAAGAAAAGAGGTAGATTTTTTCTATTTACTTCAAATCAAATCTATCTTTTGTACAATAATAGATCTATCAATAAAAAAAAAATTAAGAACACATGTCTTCCAACTTAGTTCGAATCATGTGGACACAAAATAAATGATCGCGAAATCTTTTTTCTGCTCGATCACATGGGAAACGATGGAAGCTCACGCACGCGGCCACATAAAAATTGTCTTTTGTCACCTATTTTGTTGCACTCAAATATTTGACAAAGACTAAGATTATAAATCAAGATTGATTTGATTATATTAATGAATAGGATATGTGTAGTTTTCAATTTAGTTTCGTTAAATAAGAATGTGATTGTTGATTAATTTATTGTGAAGTAAATTAAGATGATGTCTCTTATTTAGCTATTTTATTTTTATTGTATTAATATGATTATATCATGATCTTTGTGATGCCATCGGATTTCATCATTGGATATGGTCTCTTATATTATATATTATATATGATTTATTTTTGATATTTTTAATATTGATCATCTCCGAATGAAAATATAAATGAATACATGAATGGATAAATAAAAATATAAATAAATTAGTATATGACATGTATATAAGGATGTTATTTTCTTACCAAGTAAAGTAATTTTCTAAAAAAATTTATATATTGTTGGGAAATTTTTTTTTGAATTTTTTATATATAGTTGGGATGAATGTAACTTTAATTTTATAATATATCTTTCATGGAGGCCATAGATGATACCTGGATCAACTTGATTTGATTCGAACTTATATATATACAGACAAGCTTTGTTAGGGAGTCACAATCAGCTTGTTGGAGAGATTGATGAGCTTCATTCGTAGCTCATCGGATCAACGTAAGGAGGGTGCATCTAGTAATCTTCGCATACTTAACATGAGATGCATTGGACGAGTCTTCAATATTTAGCTTGAGATGAGCACAATGCTCACATCTTTGATGCTCAGCCCGAGAAGAATGCATTGGGCATATCTTCAATGCTTGGCCTAAAAAGGGTACATCTTCGAAGCTCAACAAAAATTGGTGCATCATCTTTGATGCTTAACCGGAGAAATATGTATCAGACAAGTCTTCAATGCTTAGCTCGAGAAGGACACATTAAGCAAGTCTGATTTAATACCGACATATAAAAACACCAAGATCACAATATAATTTTTTTGACGTTTAAATCAATAATAAAATAAGATACAATATTTGACTTTGATTATCACAGTTTGATGGAATTTTTTTTTTATAACCGACACAGCTAAAGAAAATGTTTCATAATATAGGGAGAATCTTTCAAATGTATTTAATATATAACAAATAGTTATATAGCTTGATTGTCGATTAAGGATGTCGGTTAATATGGTTACCACTTATCCGTGCCGGGGTAACATTGTCCTATCAAAATCTACAGTAACTTTTCCCGACAGAATCTAATACCTTCTGCAGCAACATGGTCTGACCGTGGGGAATGTGCTTCTGGAGACCCGAAATATCAATGTTTTCAGCTATTTTTCTGTGGATCTGAGACACGCCCACCAGCTGCAGCAGATGTGGCTACGATGCAGCTGCAGCAACAGCATAGGGATAAGGTTCATTCTGCATTGGAAAGATCATTTTTATCACCTGCAATGTTCTATGTTGATGATGATGAAGAGTTGGAATCCACAACGGAGACTGAGAGCGCTGAATATTCTTTTGGTAGACACAGATGAGGTTTCTCTGCATTGGGAAGCTAAACACACAATCCCCTCAATTTTTTATCACCTGGAATGTTTGTTCTACGTTGGAATCCACAACAAGGGCAACTATTCACATTTATATAGCAGTACATGTTGCCTTGGGAGAGAAAGAGGTACAGATGCATGCAAGCAGAGAGTTACAACAAATCATCACACCCAAAAGGGATCCAAAAGATACATGATTCGACTGTATGTGTTCTTTTGAAAGGCATGCAAATTCACAAACTTTTAACTTTGTTAATATTTGAGTTTAATTGAGACACAGCTTGATGATTATTTGCATGTGATATTGGACATCAATAGCTGGTCCAAATTGGCATGGAGCACCTGATGAACTCTTCTTTTTTTTTGTGGAATTAAGGGAAGTTTGGTGTCAAATTTATCCCATCAAACTGCAAAATATCGCATATGTCTCTAAAAATGAATATATGTAAAGTATCCCCTTATAATTATATGGGGGATGAGAGATAAAATTGAAAAAACAGAGATAAACGTGATGCCAAAAAAGATGATTTCTATGGTTTCAAGGGTACATTTGATGGTCAAAATAAAAAATTATACTCTTTGATGGTCAAAATCAAAGCATAGGTAAATGCTTTTAAGGGAATTAAGGGAAGTTTGATGTCAAATTTATTCCATCAAACTGCAAAATATCACATGTCTCTGAAAATGAATATTTGTAAATACTTTGTGAATATTTGTAAGTACAGGATGTTTCCTTGAGACAACAATAGCAAATACTTGAAGACAAATCAGCAAATACTTGGAGTGAAAAGTAGAGCAGATCAAGATCTTCCAATCACAAGCTCACATCCATTGATCAATCCATCATGTCTCACAATTTATTGCATAAATAGCTGACTTACCTGGTTCTCCAGCAGCTCAAGTCAGTCTCCAAGTGTATGACAGAAGAGACCAGCCAAAAGTCAACTTGGTTTGTCCTATTTTGGGCTCTAAATAGGAGGAAACAGCCGTTTGGAGAAATAGATTGTAACATTTGACTTACCCATATCATGTAACTAACAGTAGAAGACCAGTGTCATACTAACATGTTGAGCACAAAGAAAACATAGATATTGCTCCAACCTAGTCAAGCAAAAACTTGCTGTTGCTGGATAATGAGCCATCAGAGAGAGTTTCAACTAATCCATGCAATGCTGTTTCTCACATTAATAATGATCTGCCCACACAATCATGAAAAAACCCACGATCTGGCAATCTCTAAGGACCAGTTATCTATACAACTATTTACTTTTCTTTGCAAGGTGACACCAATCATTTATCATCATGAGTTGACCAGAAAATTGCAAAAGATAGATTGCTTGTGCCACACTAACACATGAACTCTTTCTTCCCTCCTTATGCCAATCATTTTCTTTTTCTCATAAGGGGCAGACAACCAGTTTCCAGGATCACTTACCACAGTTCAGTTTGTTATATTCTGACAAATTAACATTATCCTAGCTTTGTATATGCAAAAAAATCATCCTTACAAATGCTAGTTAATAGAAAAGCTCATGTTATTATTTGTAAGTTGATCATCTTCACTAACCATACACAAGATCATTATCTGCATATATAATGCAGGTTAATAGCAATGACAGAGAAATTCTGACACCTTAGTAGGATCTACATGGAAGGCCTACAATTAATCAGTAAATATTTGTGCCGAAAAGGGCACATCCATGTGCAATAACTTGGTACCTGATATACACAGGGGACATGAATAACACAAACTTTAGAGAAAAGCTTCACAAGTCGCCTTGTTGTGACCCGCTGCTTTGCACCTGCTGCAGAGACGGACCACCGTACTTGTCTTGTTGTGATTAAATCGTTTTCTCCTTGGTCTTCCTGGTGGACGACGTGCAGGAGGGTATGAACTTACACCAGAATAGAAATCTATGCTTCCAACATCAGGTATCAGGTGGATAAGTGCCGAATAGGCCGACTGGTAGAATTCAATTCTGAAGTATCTTGAGCAATAATCATCAGCTGATCTATTGATCCGATTGAAGACTGCAATAGCATGCACACAGGGAAGACCAGAAATCTGCCACCTCCTGCAAGTGCACTCCCAGCTCCCAATGTTGACAACAGAAATTGTATTGCCACGTACCTCAAACACAGTATCCGAGGAGCATAAGACATTAAGCTTCCGGGCCTTTGACATCTCTGTTTGCAACTTTTGTTCCATAGCCGGTGTTAAAGTACCCACCCATGCATTGCATGATCCACGCCTTTCTTCCATGACCTCCGCTAACTTGTCTCTTATTGCATCAATCATCTGAACCACTGATGGTTCCTTCTTTGCAGGTATCCAGTTACTCAATGAGTCAACAATGTTTGTTGAGAAATGATCATATCTTGAGCCCTTGAAAATGGCATCTGACCAGTTTTCAGGTTTACTTGCCATAACCCACTCGGCAGCTTCTGCTGAAAAATTTCTTATGCTCTCAACAGATGCATTAAATTCCTCCATAGTGCAGGCTTGGGCAGCACGAGTAAAATCACTAATCATCGCATCTTTTACCTGTGATGACCATGGTCCCTTCCTCAATTCATTCTTAAAATCCTCTATGAGGTGATGCAAACTATAACTGTGATGGCTATCCACAAACGCTTGAGGCACTGCCCCATCCAAGCCCTTCTGCCTATTTGACACAAAGGTGATTGTTCGAGTCGCTGTTACAGCATATTTCAACTGCATCAGAAACCAAAGCCAACTGTCATAGTTCTCATCCTCTACTACAGCAAAGGCAACTGGAAAGACAGCATCATTTCCGTCGACCGAAGCAGCAACCAATAACTTAAATTGATTAGTTACCTTCAGAGGAATCTTATCAAGAAATAAAAGAGGCCGACAGCCATGCTCGAAACCATGAAGGGAAGCATGAAATGACACAAAAAAACGACGAAACTTTGAATCAACTGATGTGGATAACAAGGCAACACTGCCAGGGTTGGTTTCTAGTATTTTTTCAACAAACCAAGGCAATTGGCTGTACGTCTCTTTCATTGAATCATAAAGCTCCTTTTGGGCTACTTCCCGTCCTCGCCACACTTGTGAATAGGATAAAGCCACACCAAAATCTTCATAAATTTCCCTTGCGAGTTCTTTGGGCTTGCACTGTGGGCTAACATGTAATTTTTCTTTGATAATGCTGGTGAGCCATTGCCTTGTTGCCTTCCGTTGACCATCTTTGCCATTTCCTCCACCACAGGTATGAACATTATTCATTTTTTTAATCACAAACTTCTGCTTGCCAGATGTCTCAGATGCATGTATACGCCATGGACAAGTTTCTTCGTTGCATGTCACAGTCACTCGAGTTGTGTCATTCTTAACAAATTTGTATATAAAACCTCTACCGATTGCATACTTACATAATTGAGACCGGAAATCCTTGACATTATCAAATTCTTGCCCCACACCAGTAATAATACTGGCCCAAGAAGAGTTAGAAATAACAGGTACAACATCATCCGGAGTGACCAGAGATGCAAAGAGAGGAGTGCTTGGATCAACCAATATACTCCCGCTTGCCCTACAAATGATGTTTTATCAGTTATAGCTATGATTTTTCATATAGCTCTACTCCATAATAAAAGAAACATTTATGGAGCCAGTACCTTTCATCGATGTTGTCGGCAGTAATTATCCTTTGTCTGGCATTGTCTGGAGCAGCAGATGAGGCGGTGATTGGCATAACAAAGCCATCAGAAATCATTCTAGATTATTGTCACAAAAAAAGAGGAAAAAAATAAACACAATTAGGACTTGCAGTGGATCATCTCAATGGCAGTAAAGAACAGAAAATTTGGGGAACATCATAAAGGTATACGATAGGCAATTAAGAAATCTCTTATTGCAGTTTCCGGTCGATAAGTTCTTTGGCATTCTTAGCAAACAAAGTGAACAAGAGATAAAGATAGAACTCTGAAAACAGATTAAGGGGTTGATGAATAAAATAAACAATTGGTGTATTATAAATGCTTCAAACACAAAATTTTAGCCTTTTTTTAATATCTTCTCTAATGTACAACACCAGATGATTATGAATTTGCAGGCACTACATGGGGCAAGAAAGAAAAAAGTTCCGAAGTACTAAATAGTCAACCTCAAAAGAATTACAAAGAATTATTTTGCAGTTCATGGATATCCATATCAAATTAGACATCATAGGATTACCTGTTATCATCATTTTCAGTCACAAATAGCCTCTTTTCTTGGAAATTATATACATTGTCTCCAGCAACATTGGTGATGGCATTTGGGGTATCAGAATCAACAGCGCTTACTCTAGCTCTAGTCACCCTAGAGAAACAGAACTTCTTAATCATCTACTACATACAGAGTGCATGTTATAACTAAATTAGCCATGAGCAAGTACCTGTTAGTAGAATTTAACCTTCTTCGTCTCCCACTGCGAGCGTTTTCAGCTGTGCCAATGTTTGAGATTCCAGAATCAGCAACAGTGCTCCGAGTTATCCTACAAGGGCATATTTGTTAAGTGAGTTCAGATTGCATTTAAGTGCTACCAATTATCCAAATGAGATTCTTTTTAGCAAATTTATAGAACAAAATACCTGTTATCAACCTTGTTTATAATATAGACCTCAGTGGTCAAAGCATTAGAAGTAAAATCAACCATCCGTTGTAAATCCTTGTCACTAGATATTGTGATAAGTGTTCTTTTGTTGCTCGGAAGAAAATATTTGATGGACATACCACTGACATCAACATTAAACATACTAGTAAGTTCTGACTTCAAATCATCAAAGAGTATGTCATGACCTACTTCAAGCGCATGAGCTTCTCCTCCAGAATATGAAAGAGACCCATCACTGTTGGTAACAAATTCACCACCATATTGGCAAATGGCCACGATTCCCCGCCCCTCCATGGTGTGCTCTAACTGCCTACAAATGAACAATAAGAAAATGTTCAACCAGAGTAATGCAAATTGAAGCAGTATATGCACAAAACATATAATCTGTGGCCCAAAATAACCTAGTGAATCACATACAAAGCCTACTTGTGTAATACATAGTTAATGTTACAATGAAGCACAACCAACATTGCACAAAGTGCCTCCACAATAAGCTCAAGACATCAGGGTAACCATGCAGAAGAATGTAAAACTTAATGTACAATTTAGTTGCAGCTCCAACAAAAACAAATCTATCACCTGAGGGCAATATAGAAGAACAAAGGATCTTTATATCAAGTTCCCATCTACCATAGAACTGAGATTACCTAAACAAAGACACTATGGTGCAGGATCCATAGTCAAAGTCATTTCAATTCGTTAGGCAATACGATAAAGATTCCGAATGTGACATCATCCTTCTATGCTTTCAGCCCTGATAAAAATCAAGCAAAAAGAAGCATGTTCTCTTTTTCTGACTGCTTCCTATTGCTCGAAGTCCGTTCCAGGACCCGTTTCAGGCCTGGTAAAGACATAGTAAATAAAAAAGAAGCAAATTTTCCATATTCTTACAACTAATCGACTTCATGGTGGGCATCATCTAGGCGAATTCGGACTCACGAACAGTGTGGGCCGGAATCAAGAAAGAATTAGTGCAATCTTGAAGACTAAATCGATTAGTTATTCAGGGGACGACATAAAGAGATGCATGGACAGAGAGGAGGAGAGGAACCTGGATACGGCGTAGATCCGGCTGGAGCGGCGGCGGTGGGGGGGATTTGGAATAGGTACAAAAGAAAAGGGGGCTTAGGGCAAAGACGCAAAGAAAAGGGATCTATGTATATTTACACACATCTCCCTCGTCATGGGTATATGTGTAAAAATGCCTCGCGTGAAGGGCACTTAAGCAATTATCAATTTGAGAAGCCTGTTTTATCTGTGGTGTTTGTTGGCTATTAGGTGATTAAACCAGTCACGCGATTTAACACACGACTTGAGATACCGGGAGGCCGAAAACCGGTAGAGAATAGCGGTACTCTGGACAGCGATTCAAGTCGCGACCTCATAGCTTAGGTATAAGTTGGAAGTCTTTAAATGTGTACCTACGAAAGAATAGCATTCGGAAAGCGACTTTAGTCACGATTTCAACCAGGATTGAGAGGTGGGCGGAGGAACATTTTTCATAAAAACCATTATTTGGGGGGTTTTTTCATTGAAGGTCTTCTGTTGCTTTTAAGGGCCGAGAGAAATTGATGCATTTTTATGCGTTTATTATGTATCATTTGCATATTAATCCTTCTTTAAAGAATTTTGCTTGCTGAGTTGTTTCATATTATTTCTTCTGCTAATTTAAGCTCATTATGAAATGGCTTCATGTGTGCTTATTTCTTCCAAAAATATTGGATGTTGTTTATTCATTACTTATATATTTTGATTTTTTTTACATCGGCATTTTGAACATATACAATTATACATGATGACATCGATTATGTCTATATTAATTTAACTTGATTTAAAGTTGTATAAATAAGAAATTTGATGTGATCGAATAGGGAGTCCATAAATGCTCGCTTGATTATTGAGGGGGTTCGAGCACTTGTTACATGACTAACTTATATGAAGATCAAGATTGATATAGTGACACTTGAGTTAATAATCGATAAAGATAAAATAATTTTAGTAAACGATCAATAATTGAGTCCTTGTCCTATCGTTTTAGGTGTATAGTTGAAATATTTTTCGAACTACTATTTTGGATTGATGTTTGTATGGCTTAGGTTTGATCTCGTCGTACCTTCCCACTTTTAATTATTTTCGAGGATAAATAAATTTTGTATCAAATGATATTTCTAAAAATTATAGATCATTATAATATCAAATAAACAGAAATAGAGAACATATAATTAGACTTGTGGAAAGAAAAAAAACAAAAAAATATTGGAGAAAAATCTCGTTATGGAGAAAATGTTTACGAATTTTTTTTATTCAGGTATTAATATGAACATATAGAGAAATCAATGATAGAAGGAAGAATGCACTCTTATTTTGGCATGACATATCCCTGGTAAAGAATCGCAAGGATTAAGACTACATCCTCTCACTTTCTTCTGAAAACCCTGGTGTGGTAAGATTGTGAGACTTCGCTTTAAAGGCTGATAAAGATGTTCAATATAGGATGTATTGATGGGGAAATCTGCCTACTCCTGTTTATTCTATGTGTTTTCTCTTTGTCCAGCAACCAGATGGAAGAACTGCTCGGTTTCATCTCAGGTCTTTTAGAATGTTTACTTGGTTTCCTTGGTCATTGGGATTAAGGTTTAATGTTCCAACCTATCTTTTCGAGGGAAAAGAAGACAGAGAAAGTTGATGTTGATGTCTGCTTAGAGTCTTGTATTCATCAAGACCATATCTGTCTTCTTCATTATTAGAGATAAAGCTTACCTGCCCAACAAGTAGGAGAAATCTCAAGGTGGAAAATGGAAGCACCCACTGCAAGTGCTAACTCTCAAGTTCATCAACATGAGACCAACTTGTAAGATTAACATCTGATGAACCATCAAGCAACATCGATAGTCCTACCAAACAAATCCAACAGTACCCACTTACAGATACACAAATCACGATACAAACATGTAAGGAACTCGAGAAGAGTTCACAAGTAGCATATCAAGCAGCTTTATTCAACATACTACTACGTATCATGCCCGATCGACATGATCGGTACTGATCAGAAGCAGCAGCAGAGGCACTCGAGGCAGCACTCGCAGGCCTCAAAGCAGCAGAAGCAGCAACAGAAGGCGAATAAACTGCCACAAAATGGATCAAGAAGCCACAATAAGTCAAGAAAACATCCTTCCAACCTCAATCTGCAGTCACTTGATGTATATCATATGGAATGGAGATGAGACTGTGATGATACCAGGCGTAGAGGAAGCCCTTCTCCTCGTGGCGTCTCTGGACGTGCTCCATGTACGACATCTCCTGCGCGCTCGGCGCGTCCATCTTAACTCCAAAGCAGCCAACACAGCCAAATAGAGAGAGAGAGAGAGAGAGAGAGAGACGAAAGGGCTCTTCACAGATATAATGTGATCAAAGGCCTTCCTTTCTCCTTCACTCTATCTTATCGATATCTCTGCTTGTCTCTTTCCTCCTGTCCGAAAGCGAAAGGGTTTTGGTTGAGCATGCGTGGGTCTTCGATTCCTTCTCTCTACAACCTGGCCGTCGACTACACCCGGGCGTCATCCCTGCAGAGACGATGAGGTGGACAGCTGAACCAACGAAGACGTGTGGAAAACGGCGACTTGGATGTAGCTGTCACACGTAGAGAAAGAATCCCAGAGATCGGTCGAATCCGTCATAGTACTTTCCAGGTGTGATGTGGCAAACCATCTGTGAGAGATGGTACCACCCTGAAACTTATCCAGGTTGATTCGACCGTCCATAAGGCTGAGGTATCATTACGTTTGCATGTGCAACGCATGTCAGATATTATATTGATAAATATTTGAATAATTTCGATGGATGATAGACTGTGTGTTGGCAAGCTACTGTCCGTACGATCAAGATCGAACCGTCCATGTCATCAGTCATGATGTCTGCGTCAGCAACAGGTGAGAGGATCGCGGTCAAACGGACGCGGCCTCATCGATCCCTCGATCACAGCCGTTCGATCCGTTCGTCTCGTCCCAGTCATCCTCGACGACGCTCGATCATCATGATCCGTTGATCGCCTCAGGCCCTCACCGATCAGACGGCCTGAGAAGGCGTGCGGAAACTTGCAATCTACGGACAGCATCAACGACTGCAGATAGTAAAATATAATTAAAGCAGCCAAAATTCCAACCTTTCTCCTTCGCATTCTTGTCGCGAAAGCCGATCATTCCAAGGCGAGAGCGGTTTGAACGATGGGGGAGACCGAGACCGAGCAGCGAGTGGGATTCGGGTAAGTAGTTCGATTTGTCTCTCAGCTTACCTTGCCTTGAATTCAAGAGACCCCTTCTAATTTCGGGGTTTACTTCTTCCCTGCGATCCGATTCGACGTCGTTGTATCTTTCGGTGGATTTCTTGTGAATTTTTTTTATGAATTTTTTTTTTCTGTACAAAATCGAGAACCATGGGAAGGCTTTTGCTTCGATGTTGTGATAGGGTAGTTCTCTGGGAAGGCGACCTGGATCTTGGTTAATATTTGGCAATTTCTCAGTTATTTGTTAGATTTCTTCATTGTGGAGTCTTTGTGGAGATAGAGATATGGTTAGACTGTTAAATTTGGTCGGAGTTTGAGCTTTGGTATCGTTCCATGCCATTGATTAGTGGATATTATGAGCATTAACGGGGTCGTTAGTAATCGTTAAGATGGCAAATTTCCCATCTCTAATACTGGATGGTGGTGGATCCTTAGCTCCATGCTGAAGATTTTCCCCCATTCCATGAATTATTTTATAATAAGGTGAAATGCTTGTTTAAGTTCCTGCTTCCAGCCAGCCAAAGGCTTTTATTCCTTTGAATAGGCAGGGGAGATTGATCGAAGTAAATGTCTATCTGTAACTGTTAGCTTAAATCCACAGTGTTATTCAATTGTGATCTCTTCCTTTTTGCATATAGTGTATTGTTACCACGGTTATCTCTAAGGAGACTTGCATGATTTTGAATTAACATCAGGTTCATCTGGCATGAGAACTCTATGAGCTTGCAACTTTTGCTTCATTGTTCCATAGAGTAAAATTCAAACATCAGGAATTGGTATCTGAGCATCTATGTCGATTTGCAGGTTCATTGCATCTCACTAAACTACGGTTTGAAATAGAAGAGTACAAATAATTGTGTTTAGGCATTTACTTCAGTTAAAAGCGATTGTTCGAGTGTATATTCAAACATTAAAGCACCGAGGACTTTTTAAAGCTGTAGTTAGGACCAGAAGTTCTTAACTTGGTAAGAATCTACACCAAGCTGATCATAATGAAATTCTAGCTGTTCACAGGAAGAATCTTAGAAATTCAGTTGTGGCCTGTTCCTACTTTCTCTTTCTCTCCTATTTTTGGATGTTTATGGCTGTTCCACTTCAGGAACTAAACTGCAGGGTTCAAGCTGATAGACATTCTTTGCTGATGGATCGAGCAGCTAATTTGAATGGACATGAACATGCGATTGATATATCACAGCGCAATGATGCTTCAACTTCCGTCTCTGCTCGAAATGACCATGGTGACTCAGATGGAGCATATAATGAAGATAGACCTTCGACAAGCACTTTGGCTCCTGTTTCTCAATTAGCTCCAACATCACCAAATATTTCCAATTCAATAAATTTTTCTTTGCCAAGGAGAGCTGATAATTATGGCCGTCGAAATAGAAGTCCTTTGAACTCTGGTTTGTGGATTTCAGTTGAGCTTGTTGTTAATGTGAGTCAAATTATAGCAGCTATCATTGTGCTCTCCTTGTCAAGACATGAACATCCCCGAACTCCATTATTTGCATGGATCATAGGTTACACAACAGGCTGTTTTGCTACACTTCCTCATCTTTATTGGCGTTATATTCATCGCAATAGTCTGATCTCTGAGCAAGAACCAGCACTTTATGGTCAGGGTACTTCGCGTAATAGCCCTCCAGAATCTAGTGCTTATGCTGATATCTCTGTCACTCAAGATCCAGAGCAAGAAAATGGCCACAATTCAGTGCCAGAGACAAGGCAAACTACAGTAACTAGCCAAAGGTAATTGTGACTACTTAGTACATTGAATAAATCCCTTTCTTTGTTTAGTTATTGGTATTCATTTTGTTATCTATTCTTACTTTATTTTTTATATTATTTTTTGGCTTTTACATGCTAATCAATGGTAGTTCTTTATGCAAAAGATTCAACAACTTGAATATATGTGTCCCTTCATTTTCAGTTTTTATTTAGGTTTCCTTACATTTATTAGAATAATTGTTCATGGACTCTGACTTTGTTTTATATTGTACTCTTACATTTGTGACAATTGACTTCTTGATTGTTGTTATTTGGGTGGGGATATTGGAGTTCCATAACATGGGATTCCATTTTTTTTTAACATTTTATTGGTAGAATTTTGGTTGATTTAGGAAACTGAAGTGTATCGGAACCAAATTTGTCTGTTGGCTTCTAATGAACTAATCTAACTTAGTTTGCTGATCTACATTTAATATGATACATTCTTGATGTTGGGAAAATAAATGCAATTGACCATAAATATATAGTTTCGGTTGTTTCCCTTTACATCCCTGTAAATACAGTAGGACTCTTCAATTCATGACAATGACTTTCAACTTCTCAGAAACTATCACATATAGACTGTGATCTTAACGAAATTTGTTTAAAAGAATGAAAAATGTCATTGGATTCTAAGTTTTAGCTTTCAGATTATAACAGTTCTTGATGCAGAAAAAAAGAATTTAACCATCCACACAGATTAACGTGTAGATGTTTCAGTACCTTTTGTATAAACTACCTACTGTTGTTTATCTTTAATCGTTTCCCTGGTTTGCAGGATACATTCTCTAGTTGACCATTTTAAGATGGCATTGGATTTCTTTTTTGCTGTGTGGTTTGTTGTTGGGAATGTGTGGGTGTTTGGTGGGCACTCTTCTTCTCATGATGCCCCTAACCTGTACCGGTATGCATCCAGAATCCATTATTTCTTTATTGATTTTGTATCTATTGGCGGTTGACGTGTTCTACTTGATCATTTTCCCAGGTTATGCATCGTGTTCCTTGCATTTAGCTGTATTGGGTATGCTTTGCCTTTCATTCTCTGTGCAATAATCTGTTGCTGCTTGCCTTGCATTATATCAATCATGGGCTTTAGAGAGGATATTAATCATGGTAGAGGTGCTACCCAAGAATCAATTAACGCATTGCCAACTTACAAGTTCAAAACAAAGAGGAGGAAAAATAGAGGCGACAAAGAAATTAACTTGGATAATCAAGGCATTGGTGGGATATTGGCTGCTGGGACTGATAAGGAGCGAATTGTTTCTGCCGAAGATGCTGTAAGTTTTTTTTTCACTTCTGTTGACGTTCATATTCTGGATGCATCTGCTAAAAAGTCAGTAGCACTTACTAGGAAGATCATTAATTAGTCTTTCAAGTTACCCAAACTCATGTTAGGTTTATTACCAATAATTTAGTACTGTTTGAGTGCAAGGCTTGGTCTGGTTATAAGGTTGCTTAATTGCAAGGAGTGCAGATTGCTGAAACATTCTTTCCACATGGAGGTTGCCAATCGTACGTGGAGAAATCTCTGCAATGTGGAGGTAGAATAGCGTTCAATTTATCCAGACCCCTAGTGACCATAGCTTCTTGCACTTGGCCGTTATTATCCATATACCTATGACAATAGCGCAAGTCATGTAAAAATTAACTAAAAAGATCATTAGTAAGCCGACTTTCCAAAGCAGTAGGAGTAGCTCTCTTTTGTCCTCTTTCTGTATTTATTTTATCAAGTTACAACATGTTACAAAATATTGTACTGGAAAACCTGTCCATGTTGAAATTGTTGCAAACATGTTGCGACATATTTCTATATTGCTCATAATTTCATCATGTTACAAATTTTTGCACTGGAGAACCTGTTCACCACATTGAAGTTGTTACAAACACATCATACATATTTCTTCATTTGAGATAATTTTTTGTAAATGTAGTTGAACAAGGTTAAAGATTTTACTTATATATGATGGCATCTTAGAAACCGTTTTGTATATGGCTGACCATTGATGTGTATTAGATATGTTATTGCAACAGAAGTCACTTTGAAGCAAGATTTAGTTCTCTTTAACTAAGAGACCAAATCAGATCTTTTAAGTCCCATGTCTCTCCACTTGGAACCCAGATTTGGCTTTTTAAATAAATTTGTTCTCTATGTCCATCTTTTAGTTTTATTCGTGAAACAAACATATAATTATGCCATTCTAGACTAGAGAGAATCAAGATTTTAAACACTAGTCAAGATGCCATGATAATATACTGACTGGTATATGGATCTGTACTATTCGGTATCATGAAAAGGATAAATAAAATACCAACATGTATTGCCCAATATCAGTCCTTTGTCGGACAAATAAATATTGATTTGTACTTATTGGTTTGACCTGTATTTGAAACATTAGAGAGGATTAAGGTTTTAATACTTATTTGATACCAAGTTTCAGCAACTGATTGGCTCTTAATGATACCAAGATACTGAGTGAGAGATCAATCCGTTTTACTTGATATTACTAAAAACGGAATAATTAAAAAATGATATATCAAGTGGTACCATGCTTATGGTTCCCTTATCAGTGTTTGGTCAAACCATAAATATAGATTGGTTAAACCATATAAAGAATGTTTGAAATACACCTTTCTACATTCATATGAGATTCACGGGATGTAACCACAGAATCTTTTGGTTATAGTGTGACAGCAATAATTATAATTAAACAAAGATGATGTGGATATGCCCTAGGATTTAAAGGCTGTTGGTAGATCACAATACTTTGGTTTAATTTTTGGTAATATGTTGATTTATTTTTTCTAGGCCAAATACCTAACCTTGCATGATTGCTGCAGGTTTGTTGCATTTGCCTTGCAAAGTATGTGGACAATGAGGAGCTCCGTGAGCTTCCATGCACCCATTTCTTCCACAAGGAGTGCGTCGATAAGTGGCTTAAGATAAATGCACTTTGTCCCCTCTGCAAAACCGAGGTGGGAGACACTACAACCTCAAGCAGAAGCTCAGGAATTCACATCACGGGAAACTGGGGGTTGGTGTAATAGACCCAGTTCTGGAGATGCTGTAGATGTCTTGTGTTTCCGACGAACCATGATTTCCAGACAACGGTTTGGGAGTGAAAAGTCTGTGCAAGCCTCAAGATATACATGTGTATTGAAGGATCTGTGGCCTTTGATCCTGATTCTACCACCTCCCATTTGATGAGTTGCCCTGGGGTTTCTTGTGCTGTGCATGTCTATATAAAGAAGCCTGCAAAATGAGATAGAAATGCTGTATCAGGTGGATCTTCATTTCTATACAGAATAATATATATATGCCCTAAGGTAACCTTTAGCAGGTCTGAGCTTGATGGCCCTCAAAGGTGATTGTAGTGTGTGAGCGCGAACGGGCTACCACCGGCAAGATTGATGCTGATGCTGATGCAAGCAAACACAGCGTACGTATACATTTAGAGTAACTTTTTTGAGATTTCTTCACCAATTTTCATTTTTATAATTTTCATTATTTTGGTTGGTGTACACGAACATATATTTATTTAAATAATGAGTAGAATTTTATTTTATTTTTTTCTCATTGTGGCAATAATGGTGATATTAGTGCTATAAAAATAGCGATGACAGTGATGACAATTATAAAAAAAAACAATAGTAGCAATTGTATGAAAATAATAATCACAACATTAGTATAACATGGTGATGAATGAGATAGTGGAAGTAGGTCACTAAGTAGTTGCTACATTAAATGTGAAGGGGACGATGACTGCATGCATAGTGATAATGATAATAAATGTGATTGTGATAGAAGACAATTGGTGGTACTCTGATAATAAAATAGTGATGATAGATAATAATGATGGCAACAACTATGATAGTTACATAATGTTCAATAAAACTGCTACAAGAACTTCATAAAGTCTATGGTTTAGTAAAATATTTTACTAAAACTATATTTTATATTACGTGACATTATCGAGTAACATTAAGCATATGACTTTGTAACACATTCCAGAGCAAGTTCATGTGTTCTAACATATCAGGAACACAATTTTGAGTTGGTTCTGCTCTCTAGTAATTCTTTTGTTTATACATACATATATATATATATATATATATATATATATATATATATATATATATATATATATATATATATATATATATATATAACACCTTAGTAAACATACCGTCGATGATAGAGACCTATGCTATAGTACAGAGAATTAAATTGTCAGTTGCACCAGTGAGGCAAGAGAAGCGTCGATCAAATGTGTGATCGAAAGCGAGTGCGGACGCGACTTACCAGCCGCAGCTACCTGTCTTGTGATCAGAGCCAAGTGTGGGTCCCACGCCGGGGACATTGTTGGTCACCGTATGGCGCAAGACCCCGATGGTCGACGGTGCACCGCGGAGCAACGCAAGTAAAGGTCATCCGAGGCCGTCAGTTGACGCGAGGCGTTCGGTCAATGGCCACGCGTTTGATGGCGTCGGCTAACCGTGGCCGTACCTCGCGGACAACATAAATCCTCAATGGTCCGACGGGCTACCCATGATTACCTGTATTATTATTGGATTTCTGGTGGGACCCAACTGGGTGGGAAGAGTATGATGTGTCATATAAGCGAAAAATAGACGCCATCGTGGCCATTGAATACCCTGGTCGTTTACCCTAAGCTCTCTCCGCCTTCGGTATCGCGCGGCCTCATCGTCTTCTCTCGAGCACACGTTTTATCGCTTCCAAACCCTAGACTTTGATTCCCGTGATCCTCCCTCTCACGATCATCTGCAATTTTCTCGGCCGATCTCCCACCAACAGATTCGAAATTCCAATATTTTATTATTTTTCTTCCCATTCTCTCCTTCCAAAGTCTAAATTTTGTTATCTCAGTTTGATCCTGCCAAATAAAAATAACTCTTTTCTGTAAGAAATCTGGTCGGAAGTTGCTGCTGGAATCGAAGCATTCGATCATTTTGTTCATCGAAGTGTTGATCTTGAGTCCGTTGATTTGGCGCGGAAGAGTTTTTCCTGAGATTTGAGAGTTTCCTGTAGATCTTGAAACCGCAGGCTGGATCTGTTTTGGCATCGCGACAAGGAGATATGGTCGGAGGAGGAAGCAGGAGGGACGATGGGCCCTTGCAGATTAGTAGCACCAACGTTTTCGCGGCGCTCGAGACCCTCAAGAAGAAGAAGAAGTCGGACAAGTTGTCGAAGAGCAAGGGTCCGCCCAAGAGCCAGGCGAGGGAGCCGGAGCAGCAGGTATTTTGGGCTCCGACGCCGTTGACGGTGAAATCTTGGGCTGATGTCGATGATGATGATGATGATTACTACGCAACCACGGCGCCACCTCAGGCTGTTTGGGGCTTGTCGGAACAGCAGCCCAAAAAGGAAGTTGTGGCAGCCGTAGAGGAGGTCTGTGTACCGTTTACTTTTTTTCTCCTCTGTCGGTAGTTATTTGGTCGATTAGTGTTGAAGTATTTGTATATTATATTTTAAATTAAATTTCTGAAGTGTTGCCTTTATAGTACTTTATTCAACTTCATGGTGCGTTTGATTCATACAGAATATATGATTATGATGTTGTTGGAATAATTCAATATATTTCTAATGGAGTTATGAATACCTATTGAAATACTTTGATCCATATTATAGTATTCTGAATTCGATGGAAAAGACCCATTACTATAGCGAATGTTTCACGGGTTAATTTTTGTGTATGTTTTGCCTGAGATTAGTGCGTATTTCACTAACTATGCTGATATGGTTTTGTTCCTGCATCCTCTTCTCAATGGATTACTGTCTGTGAAGGTGCTGTATTATTTTTCTTCCTTAGGTCTCAAATGCAGATGTCTGGTACCTTATCTAAACAACTGCACTCGTATATTATTTATCGATTTTTGTCTCATTAATAGTCTTTTGTGCCAATTATGACTTCTCATTTGCTGTGTTCACTAGCAGAGAATATTTTAGTTGACATCAGATATTATGATAACCTTTAAGGACTCTCATGCTCAAGTAGAGGGTTTTTGTTGATATGTAAAGCTATACTGTTATTTTACTTAATTCTTCCATGTAGGTTAATGTTTTTTTAGCCCAATCATAATTTTTAGTTGGAAATGATGGTTGATATTTCAGCATATTGTTACTACCAGTTAGAAAGCTAGTGGCTTAAAATGGTTATGTTGTCACATCATCACATCAGTCAGTTCTGCTTATGTAGGCAAGGAATTTTAGGGAGCACTTGTATTTTGTTCTGCTTATGGCACTCTAGCCTTTAGGTACTGCTTGTAATTTTGGGAGTTCTAGCATACTAGCTTTAGGTATTCTAGACAGTTTTTTTCATGTAGGCTTAAAATGTATTATTGTTGCTTGAAGTGTTAAGGCAGATTGGAAATTTATTGGTACACGTGGTTTTATTTTTTTGCCTTCTTTTGCTTTATGATCTTACAAGCTGAGTAGTTATTGCAACATACTAGGAAACTTTGATGTCTCTGTATGTCCTAATGTTACATATATCGATGGAAGTAGACAAGCATTTCTTTAGTGAATTACCTTGTCACACAAAATCATAACTTTGTATGTAATTGACATTCATGTGGAGGATATATTGACATTCCTTTGATGATAGTAGTATGTATCTCTAATATCACAATAACTGATTCATGCTTTAGGTAATTTTATATCTTGGCGCTAATTATGACTTTCTTCAAGAAGGTGTCCGTACGGGGCTGTGCTTCACCTCGTTTTTTGCACCTAGGCATTAAGAAACCATAGCACCTCAGTGCTTCTCAAACCTTTGTTGATTATGGATTCCTGTGGCTTACAAGTTGCATCACAGAGCTATAGTTCAAATTATTATTGTAAACTAGTGCAAAATTATGTGTCTTTCGGATGTTTCTGATCTTAGTGTCATATGGAGTAGCACCAAAAGCTATTAACTCTGCTTAAAACATGATCCATTTTCAAGGAAACAAATGGACTGTAGATTTCTTGAAAACCTTGAGTTGAATTTCAATGATATTTAATTATAAGATCTCCAAAAGGATTACTAGCATTCAAAAATAAATACTTGCAAATGCAATATTAGTAAAAATATCTATGTTGTTCTAAAAGTTAAAATTGACATGAAGAGTATCATGTTTATCTTTATACGATGTAGTAGTAATTAGAATTGTAGATGTCAACCTGAAAGCTAAAATAACTGGATGTATATATTTTATGAGATGAATCTACATTGCATTTTTGAGAGTGCATACTGAGCATTTTGCCAGTTTTTGGTTTCATATATTGTATAACCTATTTTGTTTAGGAATGATATTGAGGAATGAAAATTCTGTGTATAACCTTGTTGAGTTTGTATTTGAGCTTGTTTTTTCCGAAACTGCTGATTTTGTGATGACCTATCAAATGTATTTACTTTGGAATCATTGTTTTATGTTGGATGATCTACTTGTTTCATCATTCTGTGAAAAATTTCATTGTTAGAATTTTGGGAACAAGCCTAATATTCTTGGTCATGCAGCTGTCTTTAAATCTGGTATAATTTATTGTCTCATGTGCATCTTTATACTTGGCATTTGATTACAGTTCCTACCATAAAGGAAAATTGATAATCAAGCTTCAGGTTCTTGGTCTTCTTTTCCCAGTTTCTGTTGTGACTACATCTGTTGGTTTCTTTTTTTGAGTTTTGTGGCAGTATGGCCTTTATGACATCTGCAGATAGCTAATGTTGTGTATCAAATTCTTTTAGCTTTATAGACTACCGATCAGGTAATCATTGGTTACTTACAGAAGTGCAAGGTTGCAAGTCAGATGTAGTGTCTCCAATCTGCTCGATGATATGTGTCAATTTGTCAGACTTCATGTTTATCTCTTTGGATCTGTTGACCACTATCTGCTTTGTTTTGTTTTTATCCATCTATTGGTTGAGCTATGTGCAAATTCAATATTTTGGGTGGTTCTAATTTATTTGTTGTCTCTTAATCTGTTTCTGTTTTTAATAGGTCCATAATTTCTCATTCTGTACCTTAAGAATGTGATCTAAGTCATTATACAAATCTGCAGGAACTTTTCTCTTTTGCTATGCATTTGTATGCATTTACCTGTGTATATCTGGCCATGTGCATCAACTTGCACTCTTGAATATAAATCATGGTATTGGGAAGTAGGAAAAGCTCTGGGAAAGCTGGTCTGTTTGACTAATGTTGAGCACACATTGAATATTTTCATTTTTATCTGACTTGGACAGAATTTCTTTTTGTCTATTATGCACATTTGTTTAGGAAAGTGAAAGCGAAGATGATGGTCTTGATATCGGCGATGATGATGTTGAGGAGGAACCTGAACATGAACCTGAGGTTGCCGTTGCAACTGAACCAATTATCGAGAAACCTGCTTCTGTTTCAGTACCATCCAAAGATGCTGAACGGCAACTGTCAAAGAAGGAGCTTAAGAAAAAGGAAATGGAAGAACTTGATGCACTTCTGCATGAGCTAGGCATTTCCAGCAAAGATAGTAATGCTGCACAAGACGAGACGAATGGTATCACTTTTACCCTTCATATAATGTGATACAAACAGTTCTATGAATGAAAGTGATTCTGCATATGTAACACATTCATATGCGTATTCATAAACATTTTACATGTGTTTATGCCCTCTCATTTTGTTCTCGTTTCTTTCACATCCATATAGTCTTAGTCACATCCATTCTAGTGCATATGAATAATTATGTAGTATGTGTGTTCACGACCAATATATTGTATGTTTTACAATGACCTCATTCCATCAATACGCTCAGACAAGAAACAACCGGAGCAAAGTGGCGGTGGAGAGAAAAAGGAAAACTCAGGTGCTCCTTTGGAGATCAAAAGTTCAAAGAAAAAGAAGGCCAAAAAGGAGAAATCTTCAAAGGACACCAAGGAATATGTGGAACAGCCTGCTGATCTCAATAACAATAACAACAGCCTGGACGAGGTGGTTGCTGAGCCTGAGGAAGAAGATGCATCTGCAGTTGATGTGAAGGAAAGGATAAAAAAGGTGGCTTCCATGAAGAAGAAGAAATCAAATAAAGAGATGGATGCTGCTGCAAAAGCTGCCGCCATCGAGGCAGCTGCAAGAAGTGCTAGGCTCGCTGCTGCAAAGAAGAAAGAGAAGAGTCACTACAATCAACAACCAGCACGGTGATCCACGTGGGTAAGAAGCTAAGAAGCTTTAGTATAGTCTTAATCTGTTTGTTGAACTGCAAAATAAACATTGGAATGCTCGCCTATGACCTGATCATAAGACTTGATTTTCTTTAGATGGCTTTCATGCTGTTCCAATCTTTGTCTCTTGTACCGATTTATATTGGAACCTTAATAACCAGAATCTCATGCATATATGCAATGCCTCTGTTGTTATTTTTGTTGGATCAGTTTGTCGTGTCATCTTCTTGTTATGGTTAAAGCCTAATAATCATATAGGCTATGCCTAGAAGAAGTACATGGAAGATATTCTTGTTAGATGACCATTTCTATGTTCCAGAGAATGAGATCATGAGCTATAGAAACAAGTTTCACTGCCATGAATGATTATGAAACAGTGCCAGCTTTCTCACTAAATAAAGAAATGCATCTCTATAATGAGTTTGATGAAAGCATATCTTTATAATTGAACTAGGACACATTTTGGAAAGGTTAGGGTTTAGAATGGTATGCAATTAATCATTTTTTTCTTTGTGCAAAGGACCAGTGAAAGAGATTTGCTTAGTTGACATCTTCAAAGAAAAATCACTCTTTTACTATAAGATTTTGAACCATAATCTTTGGCGATTGGGTCTATGTTTTAGGTATAAAAATATTAATATTATACCACCAGATAAATATTATATATAATAAATTATATATCACCAGACAAATGTTGTAGGTGTAAAACATTCTACACCTTGCTCAAAACATTATATATATAACAAAAGGTGAAAAAGGACATCATAAATAATGGAAAGAGAAAAAGAATTTTCTACATTTTGCTTCACCCATGTTTGGATCTGCTTTCTACCTTGCTCAAAACCTGACAACTAGGTGGATGCAGAAGTATGCAGTTGTGGGAATTATAGCCAATTTGTAACAAGAACAGGAAATCATAATATAATGGAAAGAAAAAGAATCTGTTACATTTTGCTCAACATGTTTGGATCAGAATTCTGCTTTCCTACCAGGAAGATGCAGAAATATGCATTTCTGAGATGGCACCAAATAGCAGCTATACTAGACTCAGACATCCATTTGGACATCACAACCCTATTACATTTCCCTGCTTATATGAATTTGAGATTCTAGTATTCTTAAAGAATTGATATGCGATATATACAATCCTTTCTGGCTCTTGAGCAACTCCAGAGGATGTGTATGCCATTGCATCCACACCCACAGCCTGAAACCTGCAGCCAACTCATAAAGTCTCCAAAGAATGCTTTGGGATCCATCACAACTGATGCTGTGAACTCAATACCACTGTGTTGTGGGTGATGCTTGAGACAATCTAACTTGTACCAGCTAGAATGCAGTTGCTAGACATATAGAGATCTGGAGCTGATGATGATTCTATCAACTCTCTACACAAGAAGCAGCAGTTGCCTATGTACTCTCTACACAAGAAATCAAGAACAATCCTCATGTCCTATACTGGATCTGCTTGCCTTCTGCTCTTCCACACAAGGGGTGCAACCAGCATCCATACTGTATTAAGAAACAGCAAAAACAGGTTGAATACAAATCAGAAGCCACATAACATTTGCAAATATGGGTATCACTAGAATGCTCGCAGCAAAAGGTTTCAAACTATAACTAAGGATCATATTAAAAGAAGAAAAAAAGATGATAGATGCAATCATCAGAAGAATAGAAACAATGGTCATTGCTATTAAAATTTAGCCTCTGTTAATGAGAAATGAAATTTAATGATACATTTTATGCTTCCCCTTCCATGTGGCTTGGTAGGATAGGTTTAGTTAGAGAGGAAAGTTGAACTACATCACACATGATTTGCCACCATTTAAAAAGCTTAAGCTAGTAAATAAGATAAGATTTTCATTATTTATATTTTACCATTGATAAGCCAACATAATTTTGCTCCCCACAACCCAGCAATTTTCAATCAGATAGCCATTCATCATACTTCGGAACAGATTTAAAATCTAAAGATAGGATTTTTTTTTTCCACCTTGAAGACTCATGCAATTTATTGAGCTAAAATTCATTTTATTCAGACCAGAACAGTACAAGCTCTTGAGAAAATAACATTTATCAGTAGTAGATCTAAAAGAAAAGGGGGAGGAAAATAAGTTTACTTGGAAACATTTATGCAGATGCAATGATCATGGTAATATGGCTGATAGACAATTCACCAGAAGCAGAAGCAAACAATGGCTTTATTCTTTAATCTTAACCACAAGAGAGATTTCAAGACTTACTGTAGACAAGTGTTGCTACCCATTCATTGACAATTCTGACCCAAGTGCTGGCCCATCCAACATCTATTGTCCACCTGATAAGCACAAAATGCATGATCATTAATAAGATCAACACAAATAACATAAAGCTTGATTATTCTTTAATCATGAAATATTGGTAAAGGCTTGTGCAGATAATTGCATGAAGCTTGATGAGTGCCACCCCTGAAGTAAGAAAGCAAGCTGATGGATATGAAAACTTACTTTTGCATGGTGTTTTGTGCATTCCATCCCACAAATAGCATGGCAAAGTACATTGCTCCCATAGCAAAGACAAAATGAAAGAAGCCATACCCATAGGGAACATCATCTTCTGACTCTGCTTCAGTTTTCTTGAACTGCATGTGACCAATAAAACCCTCTCAGTGAATGGAAGGACAGTAATAAATGTAGTGGGGTGATGTAAGTGAGATCCACCTGAAAGCATTTGGAGTCTATCCCTGTTGAAAATGTTGCAATTACTATTGCAAGGACAGCAATAACAAAGCTCTGGTCAAGATGAAGCCACAAGAATGAATAAGATGATTGTATCTAGGAGCAATTTATGATCGGAACAAAATGATGCCCAGCAGTCAATATCAGATACTATCATGATTCATCTACTATCATGTATAAGATAAAATTAATCAAATTCATAAATTGAGCCTAAGCAATCTTTATGGATTACCATAACCTTGATGACATTAACTGGGTCTGAAAGTTATTGCCTAGTTTATGGTCACCTGGGAATGCATAGAATGTCATAATCACTGATTAACAATCCAATTTGAGATATGGAAGAACAGGTAAACTTTTCCTTTCATATAATCCTTAAATATTGCATGCAAGTTCTGGAATTTCTATAAAAATGCTCTTCATCTAGCTTTTAAGAAAATTACCACAATAGTAAGCCAATCTGCACTTGTCACAACTTCTGTTTTCTTATTGCAGATCTCTGTCTGTGGCTCACTGTGTTGAGGATAGAACAGCATTACATTGTCGAAGATATAAAGTAAAATGAGGCTGTTAACATCAGTATTAAAAGAAAAAAACCAAATAATTACCTCCTGATTGCACTCCAGCAAAGATACACAACATACATTCCCATCAGCCCTGGTGCCAGAAATCCTACTTTAACCTACTCAGGAGATGACATGATGAGATCTTAGAAACCATTTCTGATTTTATCTGTAGGATGCTGTAGAATAAATAACACTACTTACCTTCGCATGCATTGATGTGAGGATCATGAGTTGTAGAAGCACCAGGGTCAAGGTGATAAAGAGGATATTGAGGCTGCAGGATAAACTGGGCACATACCAGATATACATCAAAATAATTCCTGAGATGGATGAAACATATGCTGTGGCTGAGAGAACCATCACTTGGTACTGGCTGCAAAAAGGTTCCATTGTTAGCCTTACCATTGGAGAGATCAATCCAGAGGAAACAACATTTTTGTATAATAATTCAATGCATTTTATAATGAACAGGAAAGAAGACAAAAAAAAGATTTAAAGCAGTACAAGTAGAACACAAAAAATTTGTCACCAAATTTGCTATAACCTGTATGCAACAATTATATCAAGAGTCTCTGGGATTAAACTCGATATAGATATTATTATTATTATTATTATATATTTCATGAATAAATAATCTCTGACGTTCTTGTTCCCATCACGATTGTTTTCAGCATATATAACAAGTTTACAACATCAATTCTATAGCTTGTTTAAAACTCCACGGCCAAGAGTAGTAGAAGAATAAGTTTATCGGCAAGCTTGCTATGTTGATACTTACCTTAGAAAGGGTGGTTATGATTGATACTTCTCTGAACATTAAAATTTTGCATAAAGGGTTTATCAGCTTTGTTTATTTGCCCTATGATAGATATGAGTGAACTACATTATGGAGACGGTGAAGAGAATTGATCATCTCCAGAAATGAATCAAATAATGAACTTATTTGCTACACCATCAAACTCAAGTTTTGTATATTCATCTTTAGAATTCAGATACTGAAGTATATAAAAATATTTTGTTGAAAGATCAGTCATACACAATTATAGGTAGAGTTGCAAGGATGCAATTCATGGTTTCCAAAAGTTTGAAGTACATCAAAGTTTGAAGTACATCAGATTACAAGGTATCTAATACTCTACACACAGAATTGAACAGATATCGATGAAAAGATTGCAAGTCCGTAAGAACTGAAAAGCTCCTTGATTTATGTAATATCAAACATATATTTAGCATACCATCTCTTTGCATATTTCTCAGATTGGCAGCAGTCGTTTAGCCAAGTTATAAAACTGATTACGCTGATAAGCTGAATCATAAGAAATGCGCTGAAAAGAAGAAAAAAAAAAAAGAGAGAAATATATTCTCTGATCACTCATGTCATTAATCCTTTTAGCAGATTAATATAAACTTAAAAAAAAAAACAAATGATAAGTATTATTACCCTGCACCAAAGTGTGCAAATTTCCCTGGAAGAAGAAAAATGTCAAAATCAGAATCAGAATAGAAGCAAGTACAGAATCTAAATCAAGAAACAATAGGTGATGCTTAACTAAACTCACCATAGAGCTGGATAAATGCAGAGGGTATGAAGAATGGTACCACCATGAAGACAATCCAAATGATGATCTTGGCAGGCCACCATTCGGAGTGCCACAAATTCCGAGAGTCTTCTAGTTTCTTCGTCCCCATGGTGGACAGAAACATGACAAAGAAGAATAACTTGATTGAAGTTAAAGATCATCAATAGAAGAGTTAATTACAGATTACCCTATATAGTTTGACCTCTTTAGTATCCCGATCGATCTCTAGACTTCAAAAAATTTACATTGAAATCCCTGTAGTTATGAAAATGAAACATTTAACCTCATTTACCATAACGTTGTCAGCTTACCAACGGAATATACAACACGTGACATCACATGTATGAATGACACGAAAATGATAGACAAAAAGGTAATTTCAATGGTTGTGGTGGATGGTTGCATCATGGGTGACTGTTGTGGTGGTGGTCGATAAGAACAATACAGTAGTTGATCTTACCGATGTTGATCTGAACATCGATGGCAATGAGGAAGAGGAGGCAGAGTGGTGAGGCATCTACATTGGCACCGCACCGCTTTGCCTCCTCTGGTGTCGCTATGCATTTGCATTAACGTCGGAGGAGGAAGAGGAGGCAGGTGAGGCATTTGCGTCGACACCACACTACTCTACCTCCTCTTTGTTTGCGTTGACCACCCCATCGTTCGGTGTGGCATCACATTGCGTCCTCTGTGTTGATGCCACATTGCTCTGCCTCCTCTTTATTCTTGCCGACCATCGCATTACCGAAAGAGGAAGAGGAGGCAGAGTGGTGTGGGGCCGACGCAGATGCCTCACCTCTCCCCTTTTCCTCCTCCGGTACCGACGTGAATGTAGATGCCTCACCACTCTGTCTCCTTTTCATCCTCATCATCGATGTTCAAATCGACATTGACAAAGTCGACCATCATATTGTTCTCGTCGACCATTACCATACCAATCACCCATAGCGTCATCGTCCACCACAACCGTTGAAATTATCTTTTTATCTATCATTTTCATGTCATTCCTGCACGTGCTATCACATACTGTATCTTTCATCGGTATAACAAATGACGTTAGAGTAAACGAGGTTAAATGTTTCACTTTCATAACTATAGAAATTTTAATATAAATTTTTTAAATCTATAGATCAGGATGATAATTAGCCCTCAACAGAACTCCACCGTTCCATCGGGTACATCAATGCTTTCCTAGAGGCACTCTGCAGCACATCTTAGAACAACCAGAAAAGGAGATAACAGAGAAGGATACGAAGCAGCCAAAGCTTACGCGGAGTACACCTTCCGCGCCTAAACAATATCGAGCACCATGACAACCTTTGAGTCCTGCAGAGAAGAAGCGAGATGGTGTGATTGCAGTGCCATGCAGGTAAGAAGCAGGCACGGAGGGAAGAAGACCAACTCTCGAGCTCGGAGAGGGCATTGCGGCCATAGTCTCGAACGGTCCACGCGAGGAGGCAGGTGACGAGGAAGATGAGAGCGTAGACGAACCTCGCAATGGAGGGGTTCGGCCCGAGGAAGTAGCGGGCGCAGCAGGAGTCCTTCATGAACTCAGCGTACCTGTCCCTGCTGCTGCTGACATTACTGTGGGGATCCTCCTCCATGGCAGTATTCGTCATCGCATCGACGTCTTTGGCGGCTCTCTTCGATCTCTACCGAACACAATCTGTTAATTACTGCAACACAACACGAGCTTCTTGTCACCTTAAGAAGAGAAATCTTTCGATGATCAGGTCATTAAAATGACACACCGACAGGGAATGAGATAAGCTTCAGATCATCTCAGAACTCGTGGCATTACCCACAGGGCCGCGACCGAGTACCCCGGATCACAGACCAACCAAGTCTCACACACGGTTGGCCTTATAACATGCAAGTTCCCGTTCTCGGGCCACATCCATGCCATCCATCGAGTACGAACGGAATCCAACATCAGGTGCAGGTCTCACAGTGTGGATGCTCCACCAAAATGAGATCTTTGGTGAAGACCTTCTCGAACCAGCTTGTGAAACAGTAGATCTTCATTGGATTAAAGGGTAGTGAAAACTACACATGTTAAAAAGAACAGAATGGACAAAAAATTAAAGTAGCTTATCACGTAAGCCAATTCTTCGCATTGATTAAGCGTAAAGCAAAGTTAAAGGAACCATTATATAGGCAGCTCTTTATCATGTTGATGATGTGTGTGTGTGTGTAGAAAGACAGATGGATAGATATATATGTAGAGAGAGAGAGAGAGAGAGAGAGAGAGAGAGAGAGAGAGAGAGAGAGTAGAAAGAAAACACAATGCAGTGGGAAAGAAGATGAGTGAACTGAAAAGGACCAGTTGGTTGCATGAGAAGAGGAAACTCTCACCAGACAACTTCCATTGCTTAGAAGGGATAGAGATAGAATTGTACTGGTAATTCGAAGAGCATTGATAAGGTTAACTTCTTTGTATCTCTTGCATTTTTCACTCCTCTAAATTATACTCTGTATAGTTCATGGCTTCATGAATACATCAAATATATTGAATTAAATATGAATATTTTTCTGAAGACCTTTAATCTCCAAAGAAATGAAACATCAAAGTAGTCGTTTCAAATCTCCATAAGAATTGGAGCAAGTAATTTTATGAACAAGAAGCAATGTATCCGAACTGGTTCGAACTACAACAACAGAGGAAGATAACACCGCAGAGGAGGAATCCGAAACGTTCGATGGGAGAAGAATCACTCACCTCAGCATGACTTGAAACTTGTGATCGATCGAGTGGGAGATGGAAGGAAGAAGAGGAGGCGGTGACGGCGAAGGATGGAGACGGAGTTGAAGGCGGTGGTGGATGCCTTCCTCGCTAATTTTTCGTGTATATATCATGTCGCGCCTTTTGCTTGCTGAGGAAGGAGGCGACCTTCGCTCGCTATTTATGGCAGCCCATGGTGTGGAAACACGCATCTAGGAGTCCTGATGGGCCGATCTCAGACGTCCATCTCCTGAACGGCACCAGTTTTAGGGCTTTTGGATTCTTCTCCTCCCCATCGTGACCGTCCGATCCGTAGATCGTGGCTTGAGACGTAAAGCATCTCGCCCCGTCTCTTGCAAGCCACAGCTTGTAATGGTTGGGGATGCCTGTTACGTGCACAAAAGAGCAGAGCAGAGCAGAGCAGTGCCATGTTACACACGTAAGGAAGAAAGCTGTTCATGTAGACTCCGCACTTCTCATGATCCACTGACTTCATTCCTATGTTAGAATATAGGTATAAATTCATGGAATAGAAAAGTGAAGTAGAAAATTAGTAAGGTTTCGTCGGAAAAATATCAAATAACAAATATAACAACTCAATAGCTCACCTTCATAATGCATGCTTTATATCTGATATCTTCCCTGAGCTGACGAGGGACCTCAAACTAAAGATGGTGGTGGTAAAGGAAGGCAATAATGGATCCAACTAAGAGGCAGATAAAGTGATTGGAATCTAAAAGATAATGGTGCACCATGAACCTGGGTTACAACCAAAAGGAGCCCATGTGAATGGGACTTTTGCTCTGAAACCAGTGTGCTAATTAGCACAAAAGGGAGAGGTTTCTGCTACATCAAACATGAAGGGAACAGAGCTTGCTGCAAAAGTGTCTAGTTTTTGACAATGACATGTTACAGGATTTAGGCAAAGAAGTCTCATACAGTGACACTAAAATTAACCAAAGAGTCGGCCTCTTAAGTTTAGTCTCTCCAAAGAAGATGTAGTACGCTAATTTTTATGTCAGAATTGGCTGGAAAGAATTCAATTATTTCTCCCTTTGCTTTCGGCTGTGACAAACTAGAACTAGTAAGGTTAGATTGGAAAGTGTGCAGTATGAGACATGTGAGACAATAATGCTAGATAAATGAGACGAAGAAGCAAAAGCGTGGGAAGAATGAAGGGATTCCAAACATAAAACCACAAAACCAGCTACTTATGCAGTCAACTGTCATTCAGGATGCAGATAGTCTAAATGGAGCTTATTATAACAAATACCATTCAATAGCCTGGGTGACGAGCATTGACTGGTCGAATGTGAGCCACAGATATCTTATTGGAGAGGTAGGAGAAATCATTGATGGTGTAACGGTCCTGAAAAGAAAGAGAATTCACAGGTTTGGGTGTTGTGGCAGGAAAGGGATTTAAAGGTCAGATTTGTGTTTCCAGTTATCAAACTTCGGAGTCGCTGCTTTTGTGATAGCTTCCAACAGGTAAAAGAACTGATTAATAAATACCTCAGCGTTTTTAAGGAAGCCTGCAAAGACCATAACTCAATAACATTTTCTGTAATATAACTATGCGACTAAATCCTAATAGAAGATCCAAAGTAGAATAAATTATTTCTACCACCCATGAGTGCCAACCCAGGGAATAGGAAGGGCAATATCACGCACAAACATGACTGTTAAAGTTCTTAGAAGCAAGAAAAAAAAAAATCAAAAACACCCATTTGCCATCAACATGGCACCAAACTGATCCTGTAAATGGATCAGGTCTAGACTGATTTGATCAGATATCCAATCCTATCTGAGCTGATCCGATCAGGTTTAACTGGTTTACAAGCCTAAAAGACACGAGACTCCCCAACTAGCAAGTAGCAATTTTAAGAAGTTAATATATCTATCAAAAACCATAAAAAAATTCCAACCGATTACATTGGAAAACCCAGCTTGGTTTATAGGCATTTGAGAACGTTTGTGAAAAACGAACATACAATAATCCTTTATAAATGACATAATAGAATAAAAATAGTTGGATAGAGCTGTCTCCTCGATAATGCAGGAAAAGGATGGCTGAAACGACCAAGCATCTAATAATTCTAACTAATTTTCCAGGATTCAATTGCACAGTGACTTTATGCTATTTCATGAATCTGATATCGTTGATTAGCAATTTTTCAAAAACCATGGATCACAAGGACAAAAATCTCTAGTCTAAAGAATAACACAGAGCACATAGTTTCATTTCAAAAAATCTGATCACCCCAAAATGGGGTCATGTGCAATTCATAATGAACGAGAAACACAGTCATGCTAAAATTGTCGTAGTGATTCATGTAGCACAAAAAAAATTCAATCATTTGACAAATATAAAGAAAATATGCATAAAAGCACTGGTGTCAAAATTTTGAAATCATGCCCAATGAATCAACGCAAACTACCAAATGAACTTTAACAAAATCTTATTCTTTTGGAAGTTTGATATGTCAGTATGCATAATTAAGCCACTCCGTAAAATTATTACCAACTGTACAAATTTTATCCAAATCGACATATGATTTTCTTGTTATATTAAACAGCTAAATAACTGGACTAAGAATATTTATACATGCAGCTGAAACGAGCGAAGGGTAGATGCGACATGAGATCCAAAGAGTAAGGAATATAATGCACGTCTATTTCATAGTGTACAAAAATATGACAGTTGGCCCAGCCAGAGTTTTTAAAAGGAAGTATTAAGTCTCATTTCATCCCTGTTGAGGATAATGTAACCTGTGTTTTTACCTTATCAAGTGATGGAACTTCAAAGCTCAAGTGGCTACAGTAAGTAGGATAAGAACTGCAACATCGACAAAAAAGAAAGTCAGGAACAGCTATTAGTCACAATATACAGAGAAAAGCTAAAAAAGAAAGAAACATATCCTCTGCATCTTACAAGAATGGTTCCCATACGATCTGTGAAAGTGCAAAACCTGCCAACTTCAATTTACACTCGCAAAATAATCTATGGCTCGCAAGCAACAAAATACCTGGTTGGAGTTGCAATCTCTCAAAACATGTCATGCATAGGCAAATACCAAAACAGGCCTCGACAATGTTTTTACAACAATGGGTGGAAGTAAATGTCAGCTCCGGAGGACAGCAATTTACACTGCAATATGAAGATAAATTTCTGCAGCCAAGGCTGATCATATGGAAGGAATCAATCGGAATAATGATCTACAAAAAGAACCTTCATCGTCTACTATATGACTAAGTTGAGCTCTAATCCAACATTTCATGTTACAAACACCTGATTTTTCTAATACCAGTAGCACTAGTGACTTTTCTAGAGAAATGTACGATTTGAGGTTGGAAACAATTTATCACCATACACAATTTGGATTCTATAGTTACCAAAACCAATTGTGTTTAGGCTGGTGGAGTTCCTCTATTATTCATACTCCACTGTTTCTAACCCTTGATCTCATTAACCGGGACAGTACTATCTGTAGAATCATTCACATCATGCTCAACAGCTTCGTCTTGACCTTCCTCTGTGACATCCTCTTCCCTCATCTGCAAATCCATTGGATAACGTAGAGTAAGGTGGCAATGGGAAAAAAAATTCAAATAAACAAGTCAAAGATAAAACCCAAGAACATGCCTGCAAAAAAGAAAAAAATTCATTTTACCATGAGTTTTAAAGTGCCTAATTACGATAATTAAGGATTTAAAGAAAGAAAATAATCTTAATATGGTTTCAGAACATGAAATTTTCATATATGAAGGTAAGCTTGGAAGCATGGATCAAGTACCTGTTGTCACAAATCAACAGTAACTATAATTTGGCTACAAAAAATAATCTAAAGCACAATCCAGGATGAATATGCCACTAATGTTAACATAACAGAAGAAGAATTTTCTGAAGGCTAAAAGCTGAAATTTAACTTTGTACAACATGATTGACATGTGTCACTGTGCCACAAAATACCAATCTTGTTAGAAAAAACAAGCACTAGAAAAACAAAAGTGCTCCACCAGAATTTCGGTCAAGCAACCTAATATGCTGAAAGTCATCACCACTGGTGTTAATTCAGAGATAACATAGAGTAATTTGTCCTCAGATTTCTGGGGCCTATATCAACAGCATAGTCTCCGTTTCATAATCAGATGTAGTGTCTATAAAAGCGTTAGGTGCCAAGGTCTCAAAATGCATGAGGCACTTGCTTGGACGAAACGAGATGCTCTAGAATATAAAAATATAAAACATATATAATATGATTATAAAAATAAAATAAAATATTAAATTAGGTTTAATAGCATTTCTAATAATAGTTCTAAATAAATAGAGATTAACAATGCTAAACAGGTATTAATAACATTTCTAAGTAACAATTAACAATGCTAATTAGGGATTAGTAGTTCTAAATAGGGTTAACAGTTCTAAGAATTAATATCAGTTTTAAAGGTGTTAATAGTTCTAATAGTTTGCAGTAGTGAGAAGAGGAGTCACTGATGGTGGAAGTTGGAGAAGGAGAGGGTGACGATGATGGAGGAACTGTTGAACGACGGCAGAGAAAGTGCGGATGGCGATGTCGGGGCTTGGAGGAAGCATTAGATGTGTCCATCGGTGGCAGAGAAAGCTACGAACCTGTCCCTTGATGACGGAGTGAGCTGCACAAGAAAGCAACGACGGTGGGGGAAATTATGCACAAGAGCTATAGTGATAGGGTCTTTGGACCTATCCATCGACGACAAAAGAAGCGTCGGACCTGTCCGTCAATGACAGAGAGAGCTACGCATGGAAGCATCGACGATGAAGTAGAGGTGTGTCGAGGGTAGCGACGGTAGTTAGGGTTTTACTGTGCGTGCGTGAGTAGCATGAGGGGAGGGGTTTGTTTACCTGTGCTTAGTTGGTTCAATCGAACCAACTAACACCTAATTCAATTAAACCAGTTGACAATCTAGTTCCTATTCAATTGGGCACTCGCCTGAAGTACCTGATGCTTGGGCTGAGGCGAGTGCCCAGGTGGCGCTTCATTGAAGCACATCGCCCGGCCATTGTGCGAGGTGCTCAGGCCTCACCTCGCCCAAGCGCATTTCAAAACACTGAGTAGATGCTTCTCATTAGCCTCTTCCTTTTCTAACAAAGATGTTACCTCACCAAATTGATAATCAATTATCCAACCAGGGTCCATTATAGACTATGGAAACTTGATCAAATTTTACAAATGATTTTTCTAGAAACATGTGTACCTAGACTAGCAGCCTTTCAAATTATGCAGATACAAGCAGTTGCAGGATAATTCTGACAAAATAAAATATGAAAATCTACTAGAATGTCTTGGTCAATCAAAAACCTGTATCATCCATTATTTGTGCTTCCATGCACAGATGCTCATACTGAAATTCCACAAAAGTAGTGTGACAACATAAAAGATTTAGTATAAAGAGCACAACATACCTCATGGCCAGAATCACCATTTTCAAGAGGCAGTCTCTCTTCATCAACTTGCATGCTTTTGAATACTTCCACAAGATTAATTTGTGACTTTTCAGCATAGCTCAGGTATTCTTCAGCAGGAGGATACTTATCCCTGTTTTCAACAATAATAATCGTCTATATTGACTTGTTTTCAAATTAATTTGAAAAGTAACGAGTTACCCAAAGATTGCTTATAAAAAAGTGGACATAAGCATAAGCATTCAAAACATTGCCAAGTTCATGTGCTTAGGCTGTAATGTTTATTTCCAGTCATGCAAAAGAAATGTAAATTGGACCCTTACATAACCCTCAAAATCCAAGTGCTTTATGTTTTCAAGCAAAAAACAAAATTTCAGTTTTAAGGATATCCAACTGCCACCTAAGATCTAAGTACCCACAGAGACTTTTCAAAGCTGACATTCTATCTTATACTGATGTAACCATGCAGATGGAATGAAAATAATAATAATAATAATGATGTCACCTCTTGTTCACACACTAACTTTTATGCTACTTTTAGATCATAAAAAACAGACGCATTGACCAAACTAATTTGATTTGGAGCACATGCCAAAGAACAGATATCTAATCCATATAGTAAGTAATAAATGTCTAAGCCTCCAAATAAAAGTTACTAATATGTTCACGATCATCAGGACCCCCAGAACCTTAAAGTAAAAGCTTTTTTCTAGGCATTTTTAGATGTAATCCCTTTTCCTTTTCAAAACTGCATTTTTGGCAAAGAATGGTATGAAGCCCACAAAATCATCTTGTGTGAACAAAGAATTCTAAGGTAAAATATCGTTCTTCCTCGTTCATGCAACAGTTAAGAATTAACAACCATCATCAGAAATAAAAACATGTGCATAATTGTTTGCTTCTACATGACGAATTACTATAATATAATAAACCTACACAACTGTGAAGCTTGAACCAACTTATCTAATAATTATGGTCCAATTAAATGCAGTTCCAAGCAAGCTACAATAAGCACAATGAAAAATGGACACTCTTACATGATTGTACAGTTCAGTATATTTTAGTAAAAAAGATTTTTCAGTGCACAAGATAAAAACAAGCAAAATCCTTTAAAATGAAACAATAACAGA